AAATAGCTATACTATAACTCAGACCCCATTAAGAATTAAAAAGAGAGTCAGCAGCTTATGTCTTTGAAGAGAATAAAGATGTTTCAAACTACCAAAATCTAACCTTAACTCAAAGAGAAACCCAAGTAGTATGAGCACAGTGCATATGGAAGGGAGCTTGCAGCAAAAACCACCGCAGGTACATACAATCACTGAAAAGTATCTACAACATCAACTAACACTGCACTCCACCCCCTTATGTCAGTTGCACCAAAACAGCACAAGTCCAAGACACAGGCTTCTTTAAAAACCAAGGTTCTTACTAAATTAAATGTAAAGAGTTTTTTTTTCTTTACATTTACAAGGACAATCAGGTTAAACATGCATATTGTTATAGAGGTCAGCAGTCAATGTTTTTAAAAAATGGGTCTGGGCACCATAGCTCATACTTGTAAACATAGCTCAGTGCTTTGGGAGTCTGAGGCAAGCGGACTGGTTGAGGCCAGGAGTTTGAGATCAGCAGTGAGACCCAGTCTCTACAAAAAAAAAAAAAAAGTGAAAAATTAGCTAGGTGGATGCTGGGCTCGGTGGCTCAGCCTGTAATCCTGCGCCTTTGGGAGGCTGAGGTGAGTGGATTGCCTGAGCCCACGGGTTCGAGACCTGCCTGGGCAGCGAGACCTCATCTCTACAATAAATCAAAAAAATTAGCCGGGCGTGGTAGTGCACACCTGTAGTTCTGGCTACTTGGAAGGCTGAGGCGGAAGGATTGCTGGAACGGCCACTGCACTCCAGTCTGGGTGACAGAGTGAGACTCCGACTCAAAAAAAAAAAATTAGCTAGGTGGGGTGGCACATGCCAGTAATCCCAGCTACTTAGAAGGCTGAGTAAATCAGAAGGATTTATTGAGCCCTAGGAGTTCAATGTGATAGTGAGCTGTGACTGCACTCCAGCCTGGGCAACAAAATGAGACCTCTCTCCAAAAAAACCAAAAAACCAAAGCCAAACAAACAACACACACACACCCCGTCCAAAAGAGCCTAGAGTTTAGGCAAACAAAACTATTATACACAGAAAATGTGGCTGTATATCTCTATATCCTAAACTCATTATTTTTCTCCTCTCCTACTTTAGGTACTTGAGATCCTAGAATGAAAAAAAAAACACAGGCTGGGCTCAGTGGCTCAGCCTGTAATCCCAGCACTTTGGGAGGCCAAGGAGAGAGGATCACCTGAGCTGGCGGGTTTGAGACCAGCCCGGGCAACTTGGCAAGTCTCTACAATAAAATAAAAGATAGCCGGGTGCAGTAGCGCGCGTCTGTACTTCTGGATACTCGGAAGGCTGAGGCGGAAGGATCGCTGGAGCCCGTAAGGTCAACGCTGGGGTGGCCATGAGCGTGTGTGCCACTGCACTCCAGCCTGGGCGAAGGAGTGAGAGGCTCCAACTCAAAAAAAATAGAAAAGGAAAACACAAAAAACTTTGGCAAGATACCAACCTCATGCTTAGTAATTTCTCACTTAATCCTCACAACTGTTAGCTTGATTATTTTTACCCCAGTATACAGATGAGAAAACAGAAGGCAAGCAGGTAACTCACTCAAGGTCATAGCAAGTAAAATTTAACCCAGGTCATCTAAATCCAGGCTCTTTTCATTGCACCAACAGTTCTCAAGTGTGGTCTGCAAACCTTTAGGGATGCCCATGACTCTTTCAGGGAGTCTAGGGAATCAAAACTATTTTCATAAAACTACTAAGATGCCATACGCCTTTTTACCATGTTGACAGTTACATGATGGTGCAAAAGGGTGACACTGCTAGTGGCAATCAAGGTTTTGGTACCAAATTTCAGTGATAGTCACCATTATTTGTCTCTGCTGCTCACTTGCAATACAGATACTGCCAGTGTCACTTAAGAATGTCCCCAATGAAGCAGTAAAAATGGCTGATTTTATGAAATCTCAACCCTTGAGTGCATATCTTTTTAATATTCTGTGTGATGAAATGGGAAGTATGTATAAAGCACCCCTGCCACACACTCAAGTAGCAAGGTTGTGGCTGAGGAAAGGTATCTGTGCAATTGTTTGGGTTGAGAGCTAAACCAGCCATTTTTTTTCCTTTTTTTTTTTCTTAATGAAAGACCATTTTAATGTGAAAAAATGACTGGTAAGCAATGACTAGTCATACTTGAGTATGGGGCAGATATTTTCTCAGAAATGAAAAAAAGTGAGACTGTTATTTCAAGGAAAACTGTATTTGTTGCCAACGTAACATTCAAGATTTCAAGGAAAAATTAGAATTTTGTGAAATTTGGATCTCCCACCATGAGACTTTTCTATGAGATCAGCTGTGATATTCACAATGTGACTTTTTGCTATTATGTAAAGAAGTGTGTCAACATTTGGAGGACCTGCATAATTCAGTAAGTGACCAATACAAGGCATTGCAAAATCATGCATGGGTAAACTATAACCATTCTTCACATATGTAAAGTGTAAAATGGACTATGGATTTTTAGTGTAATAAAGTATAAAAACATTGATATGATTTCAGATTCCACAGTGCAGCTCTCTTGAAGAAACTACTACTGGTCCAGTTTCATTCTAGTATCAAAGAAGAATGTCCATAATTATGTAAAAAGGCTATTAACATGTTTCTTCTTTTTAAAAATATGTACCTCTGTGAAGCGGGTTTTCTTTATATATTTCAACATATCACTATAGGTTACACGCAGAAGCACATGACAATTCAGTTGTCTTCTGTTATGCCAGACATTAAAGAAATTTCAAGCCGGGCTCGGGGGCTCAGCCTGTAATCCCGCACCTTTGGGAGGCTGAGTTGAGCGGATTGCCTGAGCCCACGGGTTCGAGACCCGCCTGGGCAACTTAGCAAGACCTCATCTCTACAATAAATCAAAAAATCAGCTGGGCGTGGTAGCGCATGCCTGTAATTCCAGCTACTTGGAAGGCTGAGGTGGAACGATCGCCGGAGCCCAGCAGGTAGAGGCTGCAGTGGCCGGGAGTGGCCACTGCACTCCAGTCTGGGCAACAGAGTGAGACTCCAACTCAAAAAAAAAAAAAAAAAGAAAAACGAGCCAGGCGTGGTAGCACGCACCTGTAGTTCCAGTTCCTTGGAAGGCTGAGGCGGAAGGATGGCCGGAGCCCAGCAGGTCGAGGCTGCAGTGGCCAGGAGTGGCCACTGCACTCCAGTCTGGGTGACTGAGTGAGACTCCAACTCAAAAAAAAAAAAGAAATTTCAAAAACTATACAAAAATTATTTTCACATTTTTAATTGTGAAAAATATAGTAATTTATCATAAAAATGTGATCTATGTTCTTACGTTCATATTTACTATCTATGTTCACATTTACTATTATTTTTAAATGAATATTTTTATTAATTTTCTCATTTCTCATACATGTTCTCATTTCAATTTCCGATACAGAAAACATTGAGAGACATAATCCACATGAACATAAGCTTCTCCATAAAGTCCTCAACAATTTTTGAGAGTGTTAAGGTGGTCTCGAGATAAAAAAGAGTGAAAACTGCTGCACTGTGTAATTACCTGCCTTTAATATTTAAAATAGCAAGAAGAAAAAAAAATTTCTCTGTACAGATGCTTCGCCAAAAATTTTAAAAAGATTACCAAAATGTACCCTAATTAGTGTTCTTGATCAGGATGCATTCAGGCAGCCTCAACCCTGTGGTCACATTTACAAAGAAAAAGATCCACAAAATAAGATGCTTGTAAAGGAAGCCTTCAATTATAGGCAGGTCCAAAAGCACCTTAATCAAATGAGGGGGAAAGTCTGAAAGGGAGCTCTACTTACCTTAAATGTTTTCAAACAGAGGCCTCCTCTGATGCTCAGAGAATGATGATGTCTCATTAGAAATAATAGGTGGCAAAACAAACATTCCCTGACAACTAAAAGTGAGGAAGTGTTTTTTCTGTTAGTGACAAGAATTATCCCTGACATTACAGAACAAATGGAAAACACCTACAGTCAGCAAATTCAATTAAAAAGCCACTTTTTATCAGCATGGATCCTCTTGTATTTGAAGCTGGTATTACACCTTCGGTGAACCAGTAATTTGGTGTGAAAGAGGATGGTAAAAAGTAGGAGTAATGCTCACATGCAAATATTGGGCTTTATTTTCCCCATTCCTAGAATATGGCTCCCAAGGAACAAGCAGGAATGGCATGGGTATTTATTTGCTCCACCAGATATTTATATGCTGTTTGTAAACAAAGCTAAGAGTACAAAACGGTTAATTCCTGCAAAGTACATTAGAATGTTTTTTTAAAAGGTCTAACTAAAAGATCCTACAAAATATGAAGCATTTTGTTATGCTTATTAGCTGTCAGTCAAATGTGCTCCTGAATGACTGAAAACTAAAATGTCATCCCCAAAATAAGTATTTACACCTATATTTCAAAACCAAAATACCAAAAGTCAGTGAGCCATCTGAGTTGAAATGACATTGGTAAAGGCATAGAAATGTTGGCACATTAGGAAGTCCAGCATTAGGGGTGGAAGAAAGAATAAAGGCAGCCTATTTTCCATTTAGGATAGCATTAAAACAAAAGTTGTCTTCAAGTGAGCCATACAAGCTGGCCCATTAATCCCTCTGAATTTTACACTTAAAAATAGTTAAAATGGCAAATTTTATTATATATATTACCACGATTTTTAAAATTAATAATGCAATGTACTAAAAATCATTGAGTCATATATTTTAAATGGATGGATTATATGACATGTGACTATCTCAATAAAGCTGTTAAAGAAAACAATCAAGCTGCCCCAGATACTAGGGCAATTCCAGCTGCCAGTGTTGTCATGGAGGTTTATGTAGTACAGAGACCAACCGGCTAGTCTCACTAACAAAGATGCTCCAACAAGCAGGAAGATGTCTGAGTCAATGACAGGAAGACAGATTACAGGCTCCTCGACGACTCATCTTTCTAATCTAACTTGGATAAGACAAATCAACAACAATACAAATAAAAAGCCACATACTTGGTTCCTTTAAGCTTATTTAATATTTGAACTCTTATTTTCTATTTTCCCAGACCCCAGAAAACAGAATGTTTTTAGATGACCAATATTTTGTTCCAGAAACATACAGCCTTATCAGCTAATTCATAAAAGAGCTATTTTACAAAGGTACATCTGGATAATTAGAACAATAAAGTCTTTAGGCATTTCAAAATGTGATCAGTAAAAATACATGATTATTAATAAAGTTTTTTTAAAGATAGTTCCAGATTTTTTTAAAAGCAACTTCTGTTAAAGAGTACATGATTGTATGGTGAACAAGGAAAATAAAAGGATCTAGTAGGAAGAGGCTTATTAAAAATAACCAACAGTGTGCACATTACAGTTACCATTTTTGCAGTACATCTGCTTAGCAGTTGGCACCTGGAAATGGCAGGGAGGGCTTCCTTCTAGGAGGTACTTTTTTTCTATCAATTTATCAGCAAAACTCTCAGTATCAGTGGGAAAGGCATAAGGAACACAGCAAAAATAAAATAAACTCTTTTCTTGGGGAAAGAACGATTTTGCAGATCACTGAAAAAGGGTAGAAATGTCAGAAAAAAGACATTATTCAAAAAACAAAAATTTTAATATGGGGGAAAAACTAGCCATTAGGAAGTTGACTGCAAGGTTCTGCTAACTCTGTATTTTGAGGTCCTATGCACACAGTTCTCAATGGTGCCCTCTGTGATGTATAAGGAAGGAAATATTGACCAAAGCTCTAGTAGCTCAAAATAACATCCTCTACTAACTACTCCGTAGAAGAGAGCTTTCAGTCTGAAATATAGAAGCCCTGTGTAATACACCAAATATATTAACAAAGAAGGGGAAAAAAAGGATGCAAGTAAAAGACAATTCATAGGAAGCATATTTTCTTTAGATTCTAAAAATAACATAAAATGGACTTTTCTTCTCTACTATTACAGTAGATCCTCCCTCTCCTCCAAAAAACAAACACAAATAACCAAAACAAAAATACTTTTTAAAAGGAGACTCATTCTTTCTAGTCACTAGAAGCTGTTTTGCTTAAAGCCAAAACGCTTATGAAATACCTCCCATGCAACATAATATAATAAATAGATACAATTTAATTTCTAAAAGCCAACATAATTCAATCAGTCCAAGTTAGCAGATTTTAAAGTATGCAAAATATATGGCTTCTAACGTAGTAATCATGATTTTAAATTGTAGCACTGTGGGGACTTGCTGATTTGCCTTGATTAACTCTGTTCTCTGAAAAGGAAGGAGATACTCTAAATGTAATTTGCTACTTAATAGCAAAGGAGCCATTAAGCCCGCAAAAAAGAGCACAGTGTCATAGTAGGTCACTTCAATAGCTGAAATGCAGCTTTCCTGCTCTGGGAAAGTTGCTCTGTACACCACCCTTGCACCCTTTAATATTCCAACTTCTAGTCATGTAACTAAGAATCTCACTCAAACACAGGATGGGTAACGAATTCCATCATCCTGAAAGGGAGATAACAAATGAAAGTCAAATGGATGTAATTATAACAGCCAAAATGAAATGGAAGGCATGGGAGGCCAAGTTGGAAGGGAGAAGATAGCCTGGTCAGAGTTTAAAAAACACTAAAAAATTGTGAGATCTTTTCAAAATTAGACTTCCTCTTGGGGCTTTGTTTGAAAATCTAGATATGAATTTATTTGGAATACTAGAGCTATGGTCAGAGTCTTTTTTCCAGTTAGCCCTGTTATAGTGCAAAGGAGAGGTTACGCTGCAGGAAAAGAAAAACAAGTAATTATTAAGAACAAGATACTGGCTGAGCTAGAACAGAAACCAAAACTTTGCTAACCTACAAGTTTCTTAATTGAGTGCTAGAGAATAACATAATTACCCTGTAGTGTCTGAAGAAAAGATGAAAGTTTTATTATATTTACTTTTCTCCTGATTAACTGCCTCCTGATGGTGTTAGTGTCAAGTGGCTACAGGTGTAGCCCTTTTAGTTGGGAGTGACATTATTTCTAGCAGCACAATGTAACCATTTGGTTTCTACTTATTCCTCCTAAAAGATAAAGTTTCAAGTCCCAAATTTCATTTATATATTAGCTTCTGCTCCTAAAAATCTTAATCCCACTGAGTTAAATTATACTTGGCCTATGACTAAAAATAGAATCCCAATTTATAGATGAGGTCCCAAAATTCAAGTTATCCTACCTAAAAACATAGATCAGTTTTTGAAACGACAGAGACAGGAATCTAGATATAGATAAAAGAGCTTGTTAAGTTGTAGTGGTATTTATAAAAGTAGATGGGCATCCTTATCATTTGTGGTGGTGAGAAAAACTCTTTTTTCTTTAACTGCAGGGAAGTATAAAATTACATCCTGACAACTCACAGAGTTCAGAGGGCACTACTGAAAGTGAGCAATGGATGAACTCCTTGTTTATTAACAGAATTTACAGATTTGATTTTAGTTGGCAAAAATACTTCAAAACATATATACTAATGCACAAAGAAAACCACAGAAAGCCAATATAACCAAAGGAGTCCTCAAGTTACAATTCTGAAACATTCATCTTCTGTAGGGTGCTGCCAATACTTCTATTCACTCTAGAGCAGGCAGTTACCAACACCTTGCCTGCAGTATCCAGTGTATGTTCTGGTCTGCAATTTCTAAGGTCAGTCATGGCCCAGTATGGGAAGAGCTGCAGCAGTGAAGTCAGAGGAAGTGTTTCTGGAGCTGGTGTGAGCAGTTCTGCCTCTGCCCTATCTTTCTCCACTCCACCCTTGGCTCTCCTTTTGACTCAGAGCCCTTTGGCACCATCAGTGCAAAAAATGAGAGTCAAACCTCCAGGTACTAAAATTTTACTGGCCTTATAATCAGCAGTACCCGTGGCAAATGATAGCCATGGTTCAACTCAGTAGTGATTCAGTTAAACAACCTTTCCAAACTCTCCCACTCCCATCCCACCCTTCCTCAGCAACCCCCACCCTTGCCACCATCCGAAACATTTCCTGTTTTTACTTCCTGCTCAATCTGCAGGGATAGTTTTATGCAAGTGCCAATGTCTAATGTATAATCATAAAAATGAAACAATACCAAGAATAACAAATTTATAGTCAAGAAAATAAAATTTGCTTTCCTTTCCCTCCCAAATCCCAACCCTCAACGGAAAAGATGGCAACAGAAGAAAACACACCCATTTTCAAGTGTCTGCTATTAGTACATTGAGGATTCCTGTTAATTGGGGTTGATCCCAGCTACAGAAAAGAGGTGCGTGTCTCAGGGTGGGAGGAAGGCCGCCTACTCTCTGACTACCTGGGCAGCACGCAGCTCAAATCCTCTGCATGTAAGAGCCACAGGACATACTATGCCTTTGAGGTGACCCTCAGAAAAGCAGCCTCCTGAACAGCAAGAGGGCTTGGAATACAGCTGAATGAAGACAAGATGCTCCTCCCTTCCCCTTTTCATTTCCTCTTCTTCACCTCTCAATGCAACCTCCCAATACCCCATCCTGACCTCTCTGCTTCAGGAGTAATTGATCCTTGGGTGTACTAAGTACAGAGGGCTAAAACTCTCACTACTCAATTAAAACAAAACAAGGCAAAATAAAAATTAAAATGTGCTTTCAAATATGGAATGAAGTCAAATAAATACATCTGATTTTCTCTTTTTCTTAAGTCTAAGTACAATTTCATATCCTACACCCAAAGCTCTATACATTTGGTTTTTGTTCTGAATCAAAATGCATTTCTGATACTGAGGAGAGCAAAGTGAGAGACCAGACATTCCCTCACTGACAGACTAGTGCAGCTGCCACACTGTGAAGAACTAGTCCCGCTCTGGGCACCTTGGGACACGGCTAACCCCAGGTGGTTCACAGGCAGATCCTCTGTCACACATTCTCTCTGCGTCCACACTGGAGCCAGGAGGTGATGAGACAAGGCCGATGCTCCAAATCCAACAACCTGCAGTCACCTCCAGGACACGCGGCTCTAACTTTTATCTGAGAAGAATAAAGATATGTGAATACCAAATGAAAAAAACAAGAACCAATTAACACTGCAAAGAACACCCAGGAAATCTATGGGCATGGTCCTATCTGTGTTTCTGAACTGGAACAGCCCATCAGAAAGTAGGTAACCAGATAAGCACAAGCTGCAGCGCTGAAACTCTACTTCAGGACCTCAGGAGAGGAAGTATGGCAAGCCTCAAGGAGGCCAAATCCCTCCCACACCAGTAAGTCTCATACTGAATCTGTAATTTACAGGCTTCCCACTGCTCTGCCTTCTGCTTTTGAAAGGTGAAGAAAGAGAGAAGAGGGGAAGGCAGGGGGAACCAATGATGGCAGTTCCTTTTAGAGAAGGAAGAGTGGAGTCAGCAGACATGAGCTTCTGCTTGGTATATGTTTAGAAACAAGCAGTTTGTTAGAGACAGAAAATAAATGGCATCTCAGAAGGTTTTCACTTTAAAGAATAATGAATCATTTCATTCAGTGTACTACTGTTCAGGCAGGACAATTCTAGAGTCTGGAACCCTCACTGTTCACATACCTGAGTGCTTGTCTGTGAGGGCTGATCCAGCCAGCCTTTGGCAAAGAATGATGTAACTTTCCTCCACCTTCTGTAAAATAAAACCCACAGTTTCTCATTTAAAGGTTATGAAAAAAAATTTTTTGAAAATAGAGAAGAAGACTTTTTCATATTTTTATATACTTTTAATATGTGCTCCCAAATTTCAATATTAACATCATTAAAAAATTTGTTAGTGGGGAAGAAAAAGTAAATTTCATTCCTTATACCCATTTCTCCTTTGAATGGATAATTTTTTAAATTAATTTTTTATTTTAAAGATGTAAGGTACAATTCAGGATTAGGTATACAAATGTTCATTATGTAGGTACCCTTGCTGAATGAATAATTTAAAACTTTCCCACATAAGAAGAAAGTAGAGGAGATAACCAATAAAGAGAAATCTACTAGTCCTAAGAGTCATCCTGAAAACAGTCCCACATCATGTGGCAGGAACCACAGTCAAATGCCGCATAAAGACACTTCGAACAACAGACTAGCTAAGTGATGGTGATCCCATAAGATTATCATGGAGCACATACAGAAACCTGATATACGGCACTTGGTAACGGCATTGCAGACCAAGTAGGAGAAAACAACTGACATTCAGAAATGGTGCTGGGATGTTTGGTTTTCTATATGAAAAAATATAAGAATATAGGTTTGAGTATGTACACTTTATGATGTTTGCACAATGACCTAAAACATCTAATGATGAATTTCTTAGAATTATTCCCATCATTAAATGATGCATGACTGATATGAGAACTGATCTGCTCATAATAGCCTTTTACAAATCTCATCAGCCACAGAATGATACTACATGTAATAAATAACATCCAGAGGGAAAAATCAATCATATGAAGTTGCAAGAGAACCTTAGGGAAACCAGTCTTCAGCTAAAAGGATAAAAACACTTTTAAATCTGTCCCTAAAGCCTCCCAACTAAATGGTACCATGAAGAAAATGCTTGGGCTCTGGTGGCTGTGTCTTCTAATTGCAAACTATAAAACAGGGTCTTTCTCTTGGAAATTGCCATGCAAGTCAGTTAATGAGTCACAGGTAATTAATAGGTTATAGCACTTTATAGCATTTGCCAGCCTCAATTCGTATCTACACAAACCCCACCTGTCTCAACATGCTTATTGTTCATATGTCCGACAGAGGACAGCCAGCTACCCCCAGCATTTTTAGGTTCTTAAGCTTAGAAACCCATACAAACACACACTTTTTCCTGCACTTGTGATTATCACAAGATAATCAATGTCAATCTCAGCTTTTTATCCAGGCCTATTCATGGATAATGGTTAAAAAAAAAAAACTAGACAAAAACAAGTTTATTGGACATCACCATTTCAATCATCGTATACTTCCCCTCTGCTAAATGCATTTCTTATAATCAAGTTCTAAGAATGTTGAAGCCTGAGGTACCTTTAAGTGTTCGAGGTCAGCCTCTATCTTATGAATGTACTCCATGATTTGGCTCTGTGAATCTGCACAAGAGGAGGGACTCTGGATCTCAAAACAGGAATCCTCCACAGCTCCCCAGCGCTGCTGGACCAGGAATTCTGGGGTGAATGGTGAAACTGCTCCATCAGAATGAGCATTTTGGGGAGAGTGTTGCTGCGGGTGGGTGGAGTCCAGAGTGGGAATGCCTGCCATGGGCTGCGGGGTAAGTGAGGAAGCAACCTCCTCATCTGTGGAGCTCTCCTGCACTGTGTCATAGCCATCAAGAATCAAATAATTTCCTGTTGATAGAGACAGAACAGTTGGATGAGATCAGTACTGCCATCAGAAAGCAGAGATGGTGTACTGTGCAGACAACTTGAAAAGTTATTAAAGAGGGAGAAAAGCCATTAATTTCCAGGTTTAGTTTCAAGTACATCAGAATTTTCTCACTTCAGAGTAAAGCTAAACTTAGCAAGCTTTCATGGTAATTTCTGAATTATTTAATATTAGTTAGCATTTTACAAGTTTAAAGCTGAAAACTACAAAATCCCTATATGATCTGCCACTGCTTCCTCTGCCAGACACCTGTCTTACTGCATCTTCTGCCATGTTCTCTCTCTCCCTGAGTTCTACCACTACAGAAAGCTGCTCTTGATGCACAGCCTTTGCCCCCTCTGCTCTCTGCTGGAACACTGTGCTCCCAGGAATCCACATGGCTGTTTCCTCACTTCACTCAGGTCTCTGCTCAAGTGCTACCTCATCAAGGTCCTCTTCCCTCATTACTCTGTCTGCCTTGGTTATTCTCTGTCCCCTTTTTCTGACTTCTTCCTAATACTTCTCATTATCTGATGTCTATTTATTTGTTTACTTATTTCTCCCCTAGCTTCATGAGAATAGGGGATTTTTCTGTTTTACTCACTGCTATATCTCCCAGCACCTAGGGTGTCATCTAGTACAGAATAGATTCAGTAATTATTTATTGAATGAAAGAATAAATAAATACTACATATACACATACACACAATCATGTCTGGATACCAAAACAGCATACAGGACAGATAACAATGACAAACATCAAAGTTTAAATGCGAAAGAAACTTGCCTGAGATGCGTAAATTAACATCCTTCTCTTCCTTTTTAACTGCTCCATCACCTTCTGATGGATTATCATCACTATGTGCTTCACGGGCATCAAAAAAGTGCTCTCCACTGTCATCAAGACCCCCTTCTGGCTCTGTGGTAGGCATCTCTGGGGTCATAATCATGTGGTCCATTACTAAAATGTTACTTGCCTGGCTATCTTGGGATGCCAGTACCACTGAATCCCGTGGAGCAGAAGATTCAGCTGAAGTCCGTGGACTGTAACAAGTTGTAATGTCACCAGTTCCAGTTCTAAAGGGCATCTGTCCTTCACCAGAATTACAGGCCTTAATATTTTCAGAGTTCTGGGTGCCACTGTCTGCCTGTGCCCCCTGAGAGGCAGTCCTATATCTTGGAAGATGTTGCCAGTCTTCCTGAGTGCTCTTCTCAGTCATACCTAGCTGTTGTACCAGCAACTGCTTCAACAAACTCACTAAAAGATTTACGAAAGGAGGAAGAAGAAAAAAAAAAGCACATTCACAACTATAACCTCAGACTGCAAGAATTAAATTAACTGAATTACCAGTTATCTCTAACAGCAAGTACCCTTTAATAACATAAAGCCAAAACATTAATTTCATACAAGCATTTTTTGTTTTGTTTTGAAAAATGAAATAAAACACCAACTTCAGAGAAAATTTAACATTAAACTGGGCTTGAAAAGCACTCAGCATTCTGAATAGGGAGGCACTCTTATTCAGAACTCCTAAATAACTAATATCATGCCTCTATGTTTTCTTCCATAAAACTGGACTAATGCCCCAAAGATACTTAAGAATGTTGAAAGGTTGTATCAAGTTAGACCAAAAAAAGCTAAAAGTTCTGCTTTTTCCAGAAGCAGATGCTATATGTATAGACATTATTTTTTCTAATTTTATTAGACACATAGAACATTTAATGAAAACAAGAACCATTTTAACTGTGAATGGGTAAATTGTATGTCATGAGGTCACCCACACAGCAATAGAGTTACTGGGACAATGTTAGTCAAACCATCAGAAATCATGAAGACTGTTAATTCAGGAGAATCTAGAATAAAGCAAGTTTCAAATAACTTAACCATTTCCCTGCCTTCCTCAATGGTTTGATGACTATTTTATCTTATATTTCTTTAGGTAAACAGTTGTCACTTAGGTCTGAGTCTCTGACCCTCAATCCTTCTGCTCTATGATCCCTTCCTGAGAGATGCTACAAAGTCTCATGGTTTTGACACTCAGATCTCTTTCTCTCTTCCTAACATCTCTCCAAAATTTCAGTCCTGAAACTCCAAGTTCCTGCTTGTCATTTCCCTTTGATGGCTTGTCATTCATATCTTAATCTTGACATGTCCTAAAACTGAGCCTATATCCACTAAATTTATTATTTCAAAAGAAATAATAAAGTATGGCAGCAGGAGGTAGGGGAGGCAGGGGTGGTCCCTTTCTGCCTCTTATTTCTGACAAGAATACTGAAATTATATCTAAATATTCCCTTTCCTTTGTCCTCAAATTCAAACAAATCAATTGTTTTAAGCATTTGTTGATTTCTCAGTTTATTTTTAATTCCTTCTGAGATTATTCTAGTCCAGACTCTCCGTCTCAAGTCCAAACAATCACAATAGCATCATTCTATACCTCTTTTCATTCAAATACTTTTATAGCTCTCAGTCAAATTAATCTTTTTTCCTTAGTCATACCCCGGCTTGACAACCTCAAGTGGTTCTCCACAGCTGGAGCAACTGTTCTAGCCTTTTTCCCACCTCAGTACACCCAAGAGATGTGCTTTCCTCCCATTTGTAACAGTAACTCTCAACTAGGCTGGGTGGCATGGCAGCTAACAGAGTAGCAAGTGTGTGTGTGCGCCTGTGTGTGGCGGCGGTGGGTGGGGGGCATGGTGGAGAGTACTATAATCGGCACATGAAAACTAGGAGAGTATGTGTAGTTTGGAAAAGCCCTCAAGGCACTGGGATGTGCCATCCTTAAAGTATGGAGGATCCAACCTGGTATTCAAAGTTCACAACTGCAGGGATCAACAGCATATCTTGCCAACCTCTTTTCTCTCACGCCTTTAACTTACAGTCGGCCACACGTCAACTGGTCTTCTTACTGCTCTCTGGACACCCTCAGAGTTTTCTGCCTTTGGGCTTTTGGTCCTCCCATTATTTTTATCTGAACAACTTCTGTTCTACATTGCTAGATGACTCTTACTCATTCTTCAAGCCAATAATCACAACTCTCTTGTTCTCTGATGCCTGCCTCCCTTCTCTGGTCACCCAACCCAGATCAATTCTGACATACCTGCATTGTTACTGTTTGACTATTTACTTAAAAAGGCAGGGGTGGAGGTTTCTATCATCTTCCCAACTAGACTGTAAATTTCTTAAAGGGGAAAGTCATAGCTTATACATTATACAATTCTGGAACTTAGTATCTCTTATAAACTGTGAATAAAACTTACAATTTCTTAGTGCATCCAATGCCCACCGTTCTTCTGAGACAGGCAAGTGAGGATCTGGGATTGTGATTTGATAACTTACTCCAACTTCCTTTAGTGTCCCATCTGCATGCTGCTCCTTTGAAAACTGTCTCTCAGCAACAAAGAGATCGCCTACCTCTGATTTCCCAGAGGTACTCAGTGAATGAGACTGAGGTTTTGATGATATTAAGGAAGATTCTAATCCCAGATCTCTCTCTGTTCAGTAGAATATAAAAGGCAGAGTATATTTTAAAAAACCTTTTAACATGAAGCATTCAGGAAATAGAAAAAAAACATCAACTAACAGAGGTCATCTGTTAAGCAAAACATGCAACACTTATACTGACACAGAGAAGGCCCATAAGTGAAGTTTGTTAAACTGAATAGCTGATGCTAGAACCTGCATAAACCAAAAGAGTATTAATGTTTCTTTGCATTTTAATAATAATGGACCACATTCTTCCAGTTAAGCTTATAAGTTCACCTGGACTCTGCAGACCAGTGACTGAAATGCCATGATGTTCCACTTTTAATTTTGGAGGATCTTCTTCATCATTTTCTCCTCTGCAGAGGAAAAAAACCAATCAGCTTCATGAGGTGCCTAAACATCACTACAACAAAATATACGAATTCTCCTATTTTTTTCCTGATCCAAAATATAAAATAAGCCCTACTACAGTGCAAGGCATACTCACTCGCCAGGTGTTGACTGTGGTAAAGGAATTGGCTTTGTGGACTGCTCCTTCACCGACGCTGCCATCCGACAGATGAGATCCTGCCAGCTTCAGAAAGTTGGAAAGGAATCCAAAATACAAAGGAAAGGACAAGAGAAATACCCTTTAAATACTCTCAGAAAGCAAAAATCAAAAACAAAACAAAACAACCAAACATCAAATCAATCAAACAAACAAAAAAATAAACTCCACCCTGCCAGAAAATATCTTTATTTTGGTAACAGGCTATTAAAGAGATTCCAAAACTAAACCTAAAAAAAAAAAAAAAGACAAACAAAAATACCTAACAATATTATGAACATATTATCCATTTAAAAAATTCACCTGATACTTGATATTTCTTAGAATTTTTTCTTTAGAAAATATATTTTCAATGGAATAGAATCAAAATAAAAGCTATCAACTTAAAAAAGAACAAGTTCTTAGAAGAATGTCTCCTAAAAAAAAATACAGAAGAAGTGCTTCATTTCCATATAGTTTTTGTTTTTGTTTTCAGAGTCTTAGTATAAAAACAAAGTTTATAAAATATTATACAGGGGGTAATAAGAATATTAGTTAGAGGAAAGTAGCTATAGCTAATACATACACAGTCTTTTCAGAAACTGTCTGTGCCACCAGTTCATAAATTTGGGCTCCATTGTCTGACATGGAGATGACGAACAAAGCTTTGTTATCTGGAAAAAAACAAAACAAAAAACAACATGTCAAAATTACCACTCTGATCCTGAGAGGTCAAAAGGGATGTTTCTATGGTCTTGGAATATTCTGCATTTTAATCTAAAGTTACATATGTTTACTTAATAAAAATCCATCAATCTGTACACTTAAAATATGTGCAACTTACTCTATGCTATACTACATGTATATACTTCAATAAAACAATGATTATAAAAATTAGCTCTAAGTCTATATCTATTAAAAACAAAAAGATGTCAATAATCTAAATTACTAAAGAGTAATTACTAAAGAGTTCTTTTGCTACATTGTTAGCTAACAATATTCAGCGAGTACTGGAGAAAAGAGGTCACAAATTTATTTTGACATCATGAAACTAACACGTTTTACAAGGGATCTCCTTGTTAATACAGTTAAAATACAACTTGTCAGCTTAAACTGATTTTTAGAATCCCAAACTACATCCAACTCTTCATTTTCCACTTTTTCCATCACATCAAAAAACATACCATCCCAAAGAAGGCCTTTTTCGTTGGGATGACCCCAAGGCATTATCTTTACTGGCACCTATCAATGATTTGAACATAGAATAAAGATCAAACTACTTGCATAAAAATTTTCAAATACAGGAAATCACTCAGAGAATCTAGACATCCTAATAATTTGGGGGTATAAATTCTTAATTCACTTTCTAAGCAGTAAACACATTTCATTCAATTCACTTATGGCTATAAAAGTAACAAAACTCTATGTCAGTTGTGTTATTTAAACAATGCTGAATATCTTACACAACTTTACAATGAATTTGGAGGTTAGCATCCTTCAGTTAGCATACTTGCCTGTTGCCACTTGTCGAACCAATACTGTATTCAACTTAATGACAGGGCTAAATGTGTGTTTGCTGTCAGCAGTAGATGCCAGAATCTTACTATGACACCTTAACACCAGTCTATCATCTTGCTTTTGTAACAATACAAGAATGTCTTCTAGCAACAATGTGTATAGATCTAGAAATTAAAATGCAGGAAAAGATGATAAGTATAGAAATTGAAATGTGTTTAATAAACTTTATAACAATTCAACAGAGAAATTTTATTTCTGTTAAATCTAGTACATTTCAAAAATTAACTTGTATTGTCTTTTTAAGTTTCATTTTTTAATAATTCATTGTTATTGCATTTCACTGAAGTGTATGTGACCAACAGGAAATAAAAAACAAGCTGGGCACAGTGGCTCATGCCTGTAGTCCTAGCTACTAGGAAGGCTGAGGCAGGAGGATCACTTGAACCCAGAAGTCCAAGGCAGCAGTGCACCAAGACTGCATCTGTGAACAGTCACTGTATGCCAGTCTGGGTGACATAGCGAAACGCTCTCTCTAAAAAAAACCAAACAAACCACAAAAACAACAATAACAACAGTTCCCCACCACAGATAATTTGAGATGTACTGGTCTAAGAAAGCTTACAAAGACTTATTAAAATATAAGAATGATGGAAACAGGTCTGAATCAAAACAAAGTTTTCTGCTACATTCCTAGATGAATATTTAACATACCTCACACATAATGAAATAACACAAGCAGATCTTCTGTAAATGTACAAATAACACAAAGTAGCATTGCTAACTGATGTAGCTGAAAACTGTGAATTTCTGTGGTTTTCTCTTCTTTGTGGCGTAAGAAAAATTTTCTTATTCTTTCTCCACTCCCCCCACGTTGACAGACAATATCAGACCTACCAATAGTTTTATCTCTATTCACCTTCCAAACCAATGGCCCCTCATGAATCATCTTCCTTTTTGTTAAATCCAAATTCTGCCAAAATAAAGAGAGTTATACCCAAATTACTTCAGTGAGATGATATTCTGTATACTTTAGTCTTTTTCCAAGAAATTCTTAATATAAAAGGTACCATTTACATTCAACTATCATTACTCCTATTTGTCAGTTTTTGAAAATAGACTAAAGGCCATGTTAAAGTAAACTGCATAAAATTTTCTAAAAAGAAAAAGGTATTTTGCAGAAATATATTGGGGAGTACTATCTTTCAAATTTCACTCTAAGTAGATAATAATAGATGGTGAAAATCAAGCTACAAAAATCAGCCACTAGATTCTCAGCCTATCCCTTAATTTTTCTATGAATAACTAGGTGAACTTGTCTTTAAGAGACCTCTGAGTTCTAAGGCTCTAATTCTAAAGAAAGTTCTAGGGAACAGCATTCATCATGAAAAGTCCAGGTTATTACCCAGGCTTGTTGTAAGTATTAAAATCTTATTAGTAAGATAATTACCTTTTAGTATTAGCAGCTTAAGAAAAATCTTACTCTTTTAAAGTTAAGGGGAATAAATCCATTAATATGCTTGTTGATAAAGTGTACATATGACATAAAAGTCTACTTTAAACAGCCACCAAATAAACCTGCCAAAACAACCACCTAGTGAAATGACACAAAAAAAGATTTAAAATCCTAAAAAGTTAATTAGCATAAAAACCCAGGTGCTAGAAGTGGCAATTAATAAGTATTTTACTATCATGCCTGTAGGAATGATAAAAGGTTTCAACTTTTATGCTTTTGAGGAGCTTTGTGAAAAAATAATTAAATTATATTGCTTTACTAGGTGATCTGGAAAGTTTCCATAGTAAACAGTCTTATTCGAACCATAGAACACAATAAAATTAAATTTAATAATAACCAGTGTTCCTGAGTCTCCTGTCAACTGCTGTCACGTGGTTAGTTTCAGACAAGATATTCCTCTACTGAAAGATTAATCTTCATACAGATCAGACATTTAAAAGGGAGAAAAAAATCATGAATGTAGATAATTTATGATACAAGAACTCCTTCGGGTGATGTATATTCCCACTGAGATGTTTACCTTTCAGATGTCTAGTAAATTTTATTTTATTTTAAAAAATTATGATTAGACCATCTCTCACCCTGAGCTCTTCAACATTCGGGTATTCTGACAACTTCAGGTTGGAGGTATCAAGGCGACGTTGATAATCCTCTAAGCGCTGAAAATTAGATGGAATACAGCCAGGTTACTGCTTTGATCATTAATAATCTCTCTGTTTCTAAATCAAATGGACATTTTTAATCTGTATTTTACCGAGCTCTTTCAAACACCAGACACAACCAAAAACTTGCTCTTTCTTAAAACATCTCTTCTTGCCTTTGGCAATATTGTATCTTCTAGTTTTCTTCCTACCTCTTTGGCCATTCTTTTCAAACTCATTGGCCTCTAATTAGTTCTTTTCAAACTCATTGGCCTCTAATTAGGTTATGTATTTTTTTTGAATATGTAATATAAGACACGCAACAAAAAGTAAGTCTCCCTTTAACTCTGTCCTCTTCCTACCCCTGCCCCTAATTTTCTCTAAAGAAGCAATCACTGATACCCATTTCTTGGGTAGGCTTTGAGAAAAATTTCATGCAAATACAATATGTATGTATATAAGTATGCTTGTGTCTGTGCATATTGTGTATGTGTATGTTACCTTTTTAAAAATAAGCTATAGTAGCATAATGTATATGCATTACTCTGGTATTCCTATGTGTATTCCTCATTGAATGGTCGCATAATATATTCTTATATGTATTCTTATGTGTGTGTGGTGCATGGCATCACTATATCTTGGAGATTGTTGCACATTAACATATAGAGAGAGCAGTTTCATTTTTTTTTAATGGTTACATGATATTCAACTCTGTAAATGAACTACAATTTATGTAACTGTACTTTACTAATGGACATTTAGGTTACATGCTAGTGGATTTTCTGCTATAACAAACAATACTTTAATAAAATGGATATAAACATTTGCCTTCATACACCTGTGCAAGATATATCTGTAGGATGAATTTCTAGAACTGTTGGGTTCAAGGATACGTGTGTTTTCCTCCAACATCATAAACATTTCCAGATACACAGAAAAGTTTGAATTCTTGGGTTACTTCTTGCGTTTGGCTATTATGAATAAAGCTGCTAATCAGCATTCTTGTATAAGTCTGTTGGTGGGCATATATCCTCATTTCTCTTGAGTAAATCACTAGGAACATAATTGCTGGGTCAAAAGGTAGATGTATGGGTATATACACTTCTAATTTAGACACATATTGCCATATTTTCCTCTAGGGTTTCATCATTTCATACTCCAAGTAATACAATTGAAAGCACCTGCTTTTCCTACAGCCTCACCAACAGAGCTATCATCATACTCAGCTCCTAAGAAATTACATTTATGTCCACAGATTCAATTGGCCTCTACATGCTCACAATTGTACATTTTTACCTTCAGCATAGTCTTCATAGAGATGGGGACCTGTAGAGTCAATTGCTTACTGCACATCTCTACCTGCTATCCCACACTGATATTCCACAAACCTGGGGCTTTGCCACTCATCCTGTCCATCCAAATATGCAAGCCAGAAACCTGGGGATGTATTCTCGACATCACCTCTCCTTTACGTCCTTCTCTAAATCAGTCACCAAGTTCTGTCAATTTTACCTGCTCAATTCTTCTCCAACATCTCTAAGCGACCCTCATTTATCCCACACTGCTGCAACAGACTAATAAATGGGCTCTTTAATCCACTATCTTCCTCCTTGAATCCACTCTCCATAGAGTAATATGAGTGATACTTAGTGATAACTTGAATGCTATATTGTTATATGTCTATAATGTATTCCTACTGCTTTTAAAATAAAAATCAAAGTCTTTAACATGATTGAAAGGGCCTTGCACTATCTGGCCTCCTTTCCTCATTTTATATATTTCACACCACTCTGACTTTGCTTTTTAGGCATGTCCTACACTAATCTAATCTTTCAGTTCCTCCAACAGACTGTGCTTCCCTTTTATCTTAGTAATTTTGTGTATGCTGCCTCTACCTCTAGGATTACACCCTTCCACGATGTTTTGGTTCGTTTCCACTCATCCTTTAGAGCTTGGCTCATATGTCAATTCCTTTCTCTGACAGCTACCACCTAACATCCCCAAACTAGGGTAGGTCCCATAGCTTCATACTCATAGCATCCTGAAACAAAGCTTCATCACTGCTGTCAGAACTGATACAAAACATTTTATGATCGTGTTAAATGTTCTTTTCTATCTAGCTAGAGAATAAGCTCAATGTGGGCAGACACTATGCTCATTTTCTCAATCACTCTGCTTGATGCCTAGTACATAACAGATGCTCTATAAGGATTTGTTGAATGAATAAATGAAGGAGCAAGCAAACAGCTTGAAATGCTCAAAAAAGTCAAGTACAACTCTGATACTCTACCACAAAATGATCTGGACCCACCTACAACATGAATAGCTAACAAATGCCCGGCCTGCCAACTGTGTAATGATAGTTGCAGTTACTATTTCACAGATCCCGGGTAACACTAATTTAATATTCTCCTTATGTCATCCTCTATCTTCTTGTTTTCCCTTTTTACCTGCTTGTTTTCTGCTTCCTTGACAGCCTGATTTACGTAATTTAAGATCTGCCGACAGTGATCTGCAGCTTTCTTCACCTTCTCCCTTTCCGTTGGCCATTCTACATATGGGGAAAGAATTCAAAATGTAAAATGGAGGAAATGAGAAAAAAAAAAAATATATATATATATAGATATAAAAATGAGATTCCATTTTATTTCAATAGTTGTAAGGACATACTAACACTTTGAATATTTTAATACCAGGCTAAAACCTATGGCAGAGTCTCAATTCAGGTAGTCTTTGGACAGGTAAGACTTCTTATGACAGTACATTAAAACATAAATTCTAATTTGTAAAAGATACCACAGTACAAATCCCCAAATCCTAGGGGATACTTTATAAAAAGTATCAGGGCCACTATATCGAACACCCCAGAGGCAGTTCTTATTTACTCTGTAAGCTATGTAAGTGAAATCCCTTTTCCCCCAGGAACTCATGGTGCATAGCCTACATGATTATGTCCAGTGAATCTGTCAAGAAAATTTTTCAAATGACACAATTAAAAATAATTCCAAAACAAGTTTTTCAAAGTCTAAAGACAAAAGACAATAGATTATAACATTTGTATCATTAAGATGAAATTCATCAAAATGTACTGAGGCTATGTCATGTCCATAATATAAAGAAAACCAAAATCAGAATATTCAAAATTATAATCCTCCATACCAACCACACTGATATAGTAAAGTATATAAATTAATGTGTGTATGAGTGTAAACATTTTTTGTTACCAGGTAGTATAATCTTTAATTTCCCAGTTATGCATTAAATTCTTAGGTATAAGAAACAGGAAATTGATTGCATAAAATTATTAATGAGAACTAAGTATAAGAGTCCAAAACACAACTGGAAAACTCAGATTCACTTCATTTACCAATTGTCAGGAGAGTTGGAATCATAATACATTGATTCGGCTTTTGAAAAAGTACTTATATAGATACAAAACATCTCTTCAACTCAATATAAACATTCTTCAAAGCAAATATGATTAGTCTAGAGCAAGGATGAACAATCTTTTTCTGTAAAGGGCCAGATAATAAATATTTTATACTGTGCAGGCCAAGTGGTCTCTGTTACAACTACTCACTTCTGCTGTCACAGTGCAAAAGCAGAGATAGTATTAAACAGATGAGCATGGCTGTGTTCCAATAAAACTTTATTTATAAAAACAGGCAGTGAATGCAATTTGGCCCACAATTTATAGTTTGACAAACCCACCAGGCACAGTGGCTTGTGCCTATAATCCCAACACTTTGGGAGGCAGAGGCAAGAAGACTGCCTCAGCCCAAGGGTTCGAGATCAGTCTGGGCAACTTGATAAGACCTTATCTCTTCAATACATCAAAAAATTAGGGTGTGGTGACGCTTGCCTGTAGTTCTAGCTACTTGGAAGGCTGAGGCGGAAGGATCGCATGAGCCCAGCAGGTCAAGGCTGCAGTGGCCGTGATCGTGCCACTGCACTCCAACTTGAGTGACAGAGAAAGACCCCAACTCAAAGAAAATAAAAATAAAAACATTAACAAATCCTATCCTAGAGTGGCAAATAAAGTACATTAAATCAAATAACCTGAAGAGGTTTGGATGATATCTTTTTAGAAAATCTTGTCTTAGCTTGGAGCCCTATCTTCAAAGTTCTAAAAGATAAACAATTTCAACTGAGAATAACCTACCCAGCCAAGCTAAGCTTCATCAGTGAGGGAGAATTGAAATCTTTC